AATGTTCATGATGGAAGAATTTTTATTTTTATTTTAAAAAGAAAAACTTATATAGTATTCTCTCAGAAACTTTGCACAACCAAGAAAAGCCACAAGTGCGATTTCCTTTTCTTAATGTTTCCCGAATTTGTCCAAAAAATATATATAATCAAATAGTAGTAGTTTTAACTTTTATATGGGTTTTAGTTTTGTGGGCATTTGAGTCTATTTAAGTGGGTTTTTGGCTATTTTGGAAAGTTTTTTACAAAACTAACATTTATGAAAGTATGGGGTAAATTTTGGCTATTTTTGATAAAAACTGTCCCCCTCCTCCCTCTTCTCTCTTATATTTTCTCTTTGCCTCTTTCTCCTCTTTGCCTCTCTCTTCTCCCTCATCCCCTCGCCAGACCTAACCCCCACCACCACTCAAAATTTTATAAAAAAAATATCCTCGACACCCACTCCCCATTTTCTCTCTTGGCAGAGAGAGAGAGAGAGAGAGAGGCATATAGAAGAAAGATGAGGGGGAAGGGGGTGGGGTGTGATGGAGGTTAGGTTGGGGAGGGGGAAGAGAGAGGCAGAGGGAGGGGAATGGGTGGGATGCGATGGATGTCACATCGCGGGACCAGCTCCGCCGTAGCACGATATTGTCCGCTTTAGGCCCCCCTCCTGCCCTCACAATTTTGTTTATGGGAATTCACGAGCAATTTCCCAATAGGTCACCCATCCTGGGATTGCTCTAGCTCCAACTAGCTTAACTTCGAAATTTCTATGACTCTGAAGCTAGTGAGCTCCCAGAAGGCCTCGTGCTAGATGTAGGCGGGCATGTACATATAAGGCACATCACCCATTTTTCGTTGGTCAATGTGGGATATTACAATTCACCCCTCTCAAGGGTCTGACGTCCGACTCCGAAGCCAATGAGCTCCCAAAAAGCCTCGTGTTAGATGGATGCGAGTGTGCTTATATAAGGCACATCAACCTCTCTCCGTTGGTCGATGTGGGATCTTGCAATGGAGGTGTGCTTGGGGTTGGGTCTAGGGAGCGAAGAGAGAGGCATAAAGGAGAAAGAGGTAGAGAGAAAAGAGACGATAGAAGAGGGAGGGGTGCGATGGAGGTTGGGTCCGGAAAGAAAGATAAAAGAGAGGCAGAGGGACATAGGAAGAGAGAGAAGAGAGAAGATAATGAGCTAAAATTACTAGAATGCCCATGCCACGTTATCCCACTTTACAATTTTGTGGATGGAAATGGACGGAAGTAGTAAAGTGATAAAATTTCAGTTTAAAGGATAAAGTGAGACCGAGCGTCCATTTCAGGAGGTAAACAGTAAATAAGCCAAAAAATAATCCAATAAAAATATCAATTACAAATAACATATAGAAAAGGTTAAAGCAAAAAAAAATATACATAAAAGGTTGGATCTCTTCTCTTCAAATGTAATCTAGTATCCTTTTGAATATAAATATAAGTCAATAACACTTTGCACTCTTGTAGTTTGGACTCAACACGACAATTTGGCTCCTATTTTTTAAAAAGCGACAAAAATAACAAGTGAATTCCTACATCATTGACTTGTATATTAATTTAATTAAGTTGGTTTTTTTGTTTACGGAGGCTTGAACTTAGCACAACAAAATTTTGAATCAATCCAACTAACATTCCATGGGGTAATTCTATTCGGCTCTTGCAGTCCATATCAATGTGAATGTTGAGTGTTTGTTCCTCATATGATCATACGGTTTGGTTATCGTTTTGAAATGGTTATTTATTAATTAATTTACTTAACACTACTAGAAAAGCTCCATATAATAAGGTACGGATACACTCGTGGCCAATCTTAGACTTTCCACAGAGAACCTGAGGCCAATGAGTGTTGGCCACGGATTAGCCACGGTTTGACTGTGACTTTGAGAAATAAAATCAACAAAGTATCCTATGGCCACCAAATCCGTATCTAATTATTTTCCAGCCACAAATTGATCGTGGCTATGTCTTTGGTGGCACAGATGTACAGTAACTGCGGCTATTACATCAATAATGGGCACTGTTTGCATGTTGTGGCTATAAAAACTATGGCTTTTACCCTTTTTTCTAGTAGTGTGGTGAGAAGATCAATGCCCTCATCTTTGATCTTGGTGGTGGTACTTTTGATGTTTCACTTGTCACAATTGAAGAGGGTACTTTTGAGGTCAAAGCTACTTGTGGAGACACCCGCCTAGGAGGTGAAGATTTTGACAACAAAATGGTGAGCCATTTTGTGGAGGAGTTGAAGATCAAACACAAGAAGGAATTGAGGAGATTGAGGACATGTTGTGAGAGAACAAAGAGGACTCTTTCTTGCACAACTACTCAAACCACCACCATTGAGGTTGACTCTATTTGAGGGCATTGACTTTTGCTCCACAATAACCAAAGAAAGATTTGAGGAGCTCGACATGGACCTCTTCACAAAATGCATGGACATTGCGGACAAGTGTTTGATGGATGCTAAAGTGGAGGACAAGGGCACTATCCATGATGTTCTTGTTGGGGGTTCTACTAGAATTCCCAAGTTTGCAGGACTTGTTTGATGGTAAGGAGCTTTGCAAGAGCATCAATCCTTATGAAGCCGTTGCGTATGGCGCCGCTGTACAAGCCGCCATTTTGGGTAGCACCCGGACTTCGTCCTGCACGATGTTGCCCCAATTTCCCTTGGATTTTATAATCCCAGAGGAGTGATGGATGTGTTTATTTCAAGAAATACTAGAATTCTGACCAACAAGGAACTGATTTAGTCAACCTTCATGGATAACCAGCCTTGTGTGTATACTAAAGTATTTGAGGGTGAAAATCCAAGAGCCCTAAAAAAACAACGTGTTGGGTAAATTTGGGATATGAGGCATCCCTCCTGCTCCCAGCGGGTGCCTCAGGTCACCATCTGCTATGATGTCGACACGCAGACGGAGTTTTCAATGTCTAACGACACTCATCAATCTTCTTCTTTTACTTTCTTAGAAGTGTGATCTCGAGTTCAACTTTTGCGAGTTTTGCCAATGAATACAACAGAAATCTGAATTTTTGGTCTTAACTCAAATAAAACTGTTTCTAAAATCAATTTACATTACAAGACCAAAACAAATAATAAAAAATAGCCTAAATTACAAGGACGAGAATTGTAATTTAACCCTCACTTCAATCTTCTGAGTGAGTGAAACGTTTCCCGCGCTTTGCCGTTGCTATTCCAATGTCAATGCGTCGTTTCAAAGGCCAGGTACTCCCAGCGGCTCGCCAGAACAACCCCATCATCCACCGTCCATTTCAATCAACACCTGATTACTACACAAAGCTGATCGAAACCTACGCTCGTGATCGAGAATTGCACCCGGCAAGACTACTCCACGCCCATTTAATCACCATTGGCTCTGCTCGCTCCACCCATTTGGCTTCCAAGCTCATCGCTTTGTACGCTGCCTGCGGCCAAATAGCCCATGCTCGTAAAGTGTTCGACAAAATTCCCCAAACGAACATACGCCGCTGGTTTGCTCTCATCGGAGCCTATGCTCGTTGTGGGTTTTATCAGCAGGCAATCGATGTGTTCTGGGAGATGCAAAGAAAGGTTTCAAGGCCCAACAAGATTGTTATCCCCAGTGTTCTCAAAGCATGTGGACACCTCTCTGATCTTAAAACCGGTAAGAAAATACACGCCGTGGTGCTCCGCTTCTCGTTTGAATTTGATGCTTTTGTTAGCAGTGCGCTCATTGATATGTACTCAAAGAATGGGCGGGTGGAGAAGGCACAACAAGTTTTCGATATGATGGTGGAGAAAGATTTGGTGGCTTTGAATGCTATGGTTTCGGGGTTTGCTCAACATGGTTTGGCTAGAGAAGCATTGCGTTTGGTGGAGAAAATGCAGCTACTGGGATTAAAGCCCAATTTGATAACTTGGAACAGTTTGGTTTCTGGGTTTTCGCAGAAGGGCGATGAAGCATTGGCGTATCGAATTTTTAACCTAATGTGGGTTAACGGGATTGAGCCTGATGTTGTATCTTGGACTTCGGTTATATCTGGGTTTGTGCACAACTTTCAGAACAACAAAGCTTTTCATACATTCAAGCAAATGTTGAGTCATGGACTGTGTCCAACCTCGAATACTATTAGTAGCCTCTTGCCTGCTTGTGCAGCTGTGACGGATGTGAAGCGTGGGAAGGAGATTCATGCCTACGCGTTGGCGATAGGAGTTGAAGAAGATGTATATGTGAGGAGTGCTCTTGTTGACATGTACGCAAAATGCGGATTTATATACGACGCAAAGGCATTGTTTTGCAAGATGTCTCAAAAGAACACGGTGACATGGAATTCAATGATTTTTGGATATGCGAATCATGGGTATTGTAATGAAGCAATTGAGCTTTTCAACCAGATGAAGATGGAAGACGATAAGAAACTCGATTACCTGACTTTCATGGCAGTTCTCACGGCTTGTTGTCATGCCGGAATGATCGAACTTGGAGAAAGCTTGTTCTATTTGATGCAGGAAAGGCATGGGATCGTGCCAAGACTAGAACATTATGCATGCATGGTTGACCTTCTTGGTCGAGCAGGGAAACTCACTGAGGCTTATGATATGATTAAGGCAATGCCTATGGAGCCAGATTTGTTTGTATGGGGAGCATTACTGGGAGCATGTCGGAATTATGGAAATATAGATCTTGCTGAAGTAGCAGCAAAGCATTTGTCGGAGTTAGAGCCAGAGAGTGCAGGTAACAATTTGCTGTTGTCAAGTCTGTATGCTGATTCTGGCAGTTGGGGGAATGTTGCAAGGTTGAAGAAAATGATGATGAAAAACAAGTTAAGGAAACTTCCAGGACGCAGTTGGATGGAAGCTGCCTGATATTATAGAATGGCCTTTCAAGGAAGATTTTGTAAACTAGCCGTTGCATAAGCTTATTTTATCGAACTTTTATCACAGCAGAGGACAGCAACATGATAATCTAACCAAATAGTAAAAGATCCGTGAGATTGAGAAGGAAAGAGAAGCCGGATGACAGTGAAAATGAAATTATGGGATATAACATCAAGCTAGAATGCTATTAACTCTCACTCAAGTTTGTTCAGTATACAAGAAGTAGGCTTTCAATCAAGAGCAAGCAATTTCATATGAAGAAATAAAAAAGAGCTCAATTCCAATCTGTAGAGAGGTACAGTATTAATTATTTTAGTTGACAACATAACCTTAAAAAATAATGGGTATCAGCCATTCAGCCTTTACTCCTCTTGGAAAGGACACGGCTTTTTCGGATGAAGTCCATCTGAACAATCTGCAAGTGATGCAACGACATCAATTTGAAGTCCAAGGAAAATATCCTAACCTGAAGCTACAAAGAAACCATGTATCCCAAATGAACTACAGGCACTGTTATGCAACAAATGTAAATTTAAAATAAAATAATAATAAAACTGTTGCGACACTATTATAACAAAAGAGTAGAGCAGAATGTATATGGTCCACTGAGGTAAAAGACATTTTCACCTAAAAGTGTTTGAACATAGCTTTCTAGTAAAAGTACTTAGGTAAAGCTTCTTCAGTCTTTCACCCTTTGCCCAAGTTCTTTAGATCATCTACATCCATCCCTGTCATCCTCTACTCCTGCAATAACTTGTCTTGACAAAACTGTGGTAATTGCTAATGACGTATACGAACGAGGCCCCTTAAATTTTGGAAAGGTTAGACGAATTTCCTTAACTTGTATACACATGGGGCCTCCTTGCTCTTCTTTAGGTTTTTAAGCGTCTTAAAACTTCCCCTCATACTATGTACTAGCAACAGATGAGATGTAGTTACAGATGATAGAATGCAGATGCTAAACCATACAGATGAATCTTACAGTTAAAGATGATAGAATACAGATGAATCTTATAGTTAAAGATAACAGAATACAGATGAATTTGAAATTTTAATCGCCTCAACATCCACTGAGTTACAAAAAATGGCCATAAATTTTCTCTAGCATAAATAAACAATGCACAAATAACTCTTGTAGATTGAAAGGAACCTTACAAATAATAATGAGAACATAAGGGGCTTGTTCTCACCCAAATCTGTACAAGAAATTATTACAGTTTTCATTATTCTGAAGAGCAGCAGACAAAGGAGAACACTCTTAAAAGGTTGATGGAAGCAATTGCAAAATTATTGTTCGTACCAAATCCACATTCATATTTGCATAAACATACAGGAATCTCCATACATGACATAGGAGGTGACAAGGTGATAAAAGCATTCAATATCGCAATGAAGGAAAGCAAACAGACATTTCTATATTTAGATCGACTTTTTTCCATTGATTCTGGAAAGAAAAGGCTCAATACCTTATTTTCTCGGTTACAAAAGGCTTAATACCTTATTGATACAAAAAGAATATATTAACTTGAAACAGGTTAAGAATGTACTCAATGCCTCGGTGTCAACTATGTAGACTAGGAATGAACCTCCCACTGTTATGTAACTGGGAATACATGCATTTAATGAGGGAGATTTTGTTACAATGGCTGATTCATTCAAAACCCATATACCTCTAAAGTGTCTCCACATAATTCCTAAGAACCCTTCCCATGCCTGTCAGGTTCAACATTACCAATCAAGCAAGCATACAGGTTGAGTTCCAAGAGTTAGCTTCAACCAACTTGCTGAAACTTCTGAATCTACACAAAAACATACGATGAATAATCTGAAATTCTTGAGCAGTTATCAATGGAGAACTGCATCATATACACAAACTAACAGCAACTACAACAAACCCCAGAAGCTGCTATAAAGCCTTGATAAAGAAAAGCAAACTTTAGAGCTAGAGTTCCATTATTTCTCCATGGCAAGACCATAGTAAACTTAACTACAGTGCAGTCTACATGGTAAGACCAGTGGTGTCAAATAGAATTAGAACTTCACAGAGGAAATTCACACAGGTACACACTGTCTCCATCTAATCAACTTCAGGGAATAAAACTAGTTTCCAAGATGCCCTGTTACTTTGGGTACATACACATGCCAGCAAATTCTACTAAGGAACCATAATATAATATGGTAAGCAACAACCAGTCAAATAAACTAAGCAAATCATACAAATCAAATTCTAGTTTCCCAGCACAGAGCCAGAACAACAATCCAATAAAATAAAACCGCCATTAAAGCTAAAAAAAATTAAATTCAGTGTAAGGTCAAGAAAACTCACTCACCTCAACTTAATGTGTAAAGATTTCTCATTTGTCATTTGGAGCACCATGTGGATACGAAACCATCGAACCCATGTTGTAATGGTGCGACTCGAACCCATGGTACCCACCACCCGGCATGCCCATGTGCCCGTGCCCGTGGGTCAACCCGAGAACCGGCATGGGCATCATGTTAGGCGGGTAAGGCATAGAAAACGAAAATTGCCCATTTCCATGCCCGTGGCTCTGACCCGCCTGACCCGACCCGCCACCCGACTCTTGATGCAAGCTCTGCGGCACCGGCGTCGACGCGAAAAGCTGGTCCGAAGACGACGGCCCAACGTCGCCCGATAACCCCTGCATCCTCTTCAAGTAGAGCCGATACTTCTGCAAGTGGCTCGCCACATTTTCTCGGGTCAAGCCTTCAACGTTCATCAGCTGCATAATCGTTTTGGGCACCGCGTTCTTGATCCCCAGGTGGGCCACCACGTCCACGAACCGCTTGTGCAGCTGCGGGGTCCACACGAGCCTCGGCCGCTTCAGCGTCCGCGCCGACGTGTCGTCGGCCGAGAAATTCTCGGTCCTCAGCGCCGAATCGGCCTCCTCCGTACAATCAATCTTCCGCGACTTTCTCGAATCGGATCCGGCGTTGCCGTACCGGTCGTTCTCGTCTACCTCGACGACCATCGGCTCGACGTCGTCGCTGCGGTTCTCGTCAAACGACTTGTAGTTCGAAGAGAAG